AAAAAAAGAGAGCCCCTGCATTTTGTATTTGCATGCATGTCATTTTTGGGAGGGTATTGTATTTTGAAGTTTGAGGCTTTGAATAGCTGTCAGGCAGGGCCTGCAGTTCAGCTGTGCATTGATGTTATCTGCATTCCTCTGCTAGGATTACTGAGCTCTTCTTACCTTTTGAATAGTCAGGCCAATAAAGGGTGTAGAAGTGCTGTTGTTTTAATGAACTTCATTTTTAAAAAATGTTTATAGGGAAAATGGAATGTAAATTCAAGTGGAGTTACTAAGACTTAAACATATGCCTTTGTTTCCATGGCTAATAGTTTTTTTTGTGTGTATATTGTATGTGTTAAGGATGTGTGACTGTGTGTGGCTCTGGAATGTAGTCCCCAAAAGCTGTCTATCATGGTAGCATGTACCTCCACCCAGAAAACATTCCCAATCATTGTGCTAATGCTTGCACATTAAAGGCACAACTACAGTAGCTGGCTGAAAGATTTTCACTGCTGCCCAAATAGGCAGCTGATATAATTAGGTCTTGTAAAGTGGTGCTGCTTGATGCATTAAGCGATAAGACCTACTACAGAAAACCTTAGCCCAGCCACAGTGGGGATGAAGCAAAAAGGATCCACCCCTGCTACAACAAGGATTTGCTGAATTTATGATGAAACTCTGATTTTATAGAATTGGCTTTTGGGTTTTCCTTCTGGAGCAAGAGATACTCAACTCCTTTTACTTTTACAGTCATTACTCTGTAGTCTTTAGTAAAACCATGTTGTCTCAGAGAGTCTGCTTGAAATGTTTTTACAGTTCTGCATGGCTGCATTGAAGCTGCCAGTTTAAACAGCTATAAAAATCCAGCAATACATGTTCAGTTAATGGAAGATATTTTAAGGTTGAGTCCCTGAAAAGGACTATTAACTTTATCAGCGAGCCAATAGGCAGAAACACACCTATAGCAGAACAGAATAAAATAAGCAGGACAAAACTGTGGCTCAGATGATGCCATGACATCTAGACTTTCTTTGATTCTGCCCAGCACCACATCCAAGAGTGTTTCCTGAGCCAGAATCATAAGGCAACATTTCTGTGCCAACCCCATTGTAGCAGCCTGCAGTACTTGCTCAGTTCTTTAAAACACACTCACCCACGGGACAGCACTGATTTAGGTGTGATGAAAGCCACCTAAAACACTTTTGAGAATCAGGCTGCAAGGCTTAGTCAGTCATTGCAGAATATTAGTATCATTTTCATTCAGCTAATCACTGCTGAAACCAACTATGTTCTGCTTAACTAATAGTTAAACTAGGGGTTGCTTATCCAAAGAAGCAAGAGCTCCCGATTAAGCAATAATCTAGAGCAGGGACGTCCAACTCCCAAGAGACTGTGATCGACTTCGGGGGGGGGGACAGGCAGTGATCTACCCATTTGGGGGGGGGTTCAGAGTTGTTGAGCTTTTTTTAGGGGGGGCAGCTCAAGGTTAAGGGACGCGGGTGGCGCTGTGGGTAAAACCACACTGCCTAAGACTTGCCGATCGTATGGTCGGCGGTTCAAATCCCCGCGGCGGGGTGAGCTCCCATCTTTCGGTCCCAGCTCCTGCCCACCTAGCAGTTCGAAAGCACCCTTAAAGTGCAAGTAGATAAACAGGTACCGCTTTATAGCGGGAAGGTAAACGGCGTTCCGTGTGCTGCGCTGGTGCCGGCTCGCCAGAGCAGCGATGTCACACTGGCCACGTGACCCGGAAGTGTCTGCGGACAGCGCCGGCTCCCGGCCTCTAGAGTGAGATGAGCGCACAACCCTAGAGTCTGTCAAGACTGGCCCATACGGGCGGGGGTACCTTTACCTTTAGCTCAAGGTTGTTGAGCTTTCTTTTTTTGGGTATACAGTTGCTAACAGGCGAACGCAGCGCTACAGCAGACAACAAAGGAACACCCATTAAACGCGACACAGGAAAAGACAGAGGGGGGAAGAGACATGATTCTAAACAACGCAAGCAGAAAGAATCCTGCAATCGACCAAGGTCATCTGGAGATCGACCTGTCGATCGCGGTCGACCGGTTGGACACCCCTGCTCTAGAGCATATTGTAGGTTCAGGGGATAAATTTACAACATCCCTATAGTTTATTCTGTTAACAGTGTAGGTTAGATGTGGGGCTGAGGTTGATTTGGATTTTCAGCCAAATATCTTCCTGATAAAATGTACAGTGGAACCTCGGGTTGCGAACGTGATCTGTGTGGGAGGCACGTTCAACCCGCAGTGCTGCATCTGCACATGTGTGGGTCGTGATTTGGCGCTTCTGCGCATGCGTAAAGCAAGACGTCGTGATTTTGCACATGCGCGAGCGCCTAAACTTGGAAATAACCCGTTCCGGTTACCTGAAGCGTCTGTAACCCTAGGTACCACTGCACTGTACCTCGGGTTAGACTTGGAAAGGTCAATCTACTTAAATTATTTTCTTAGACTTCCTCCAAATCTAAATCCAGCATTCAAATGCAGGAAGAAGCTTTGTGCTCCATGAACATGCTTGCATCTTCTCTGCATGTTTCGGGCTGCTCATGCTTCTGGCCCATCATAGCTATGCTAAAATTCTGGATTTCTGCAAGCCATCCATAGAATCACTTTCATCTCGGGAGAGAAGTGTCTCTTTAAGTTTACTGTTTATTTTATATTTTGAATGATTTACAGAGCTGTTTTTTTATTGATAATTTAAATGTTTTATTCACATATTTAAAAAACACACACATTAGAGCAGGTTACAATTAGGTAGTGTACACATTTTATGAAATAAATAGAAGAACCCAGAAGCTCCATTTATAGATAATGGGTTGAGTTGACTTAGAATATTTTCCTATATGCTGTTGCCTTCAACAGTCCATAAATCCTGGAAGCTGTCCTTCTCAGGCTAACTTGGAGGGAGTTAATCTCATACCTTCTCTGTTAATATTTCTGTGTACTGAAGGAGACCCTCAGGTATGTAGAACCACTACTGTCTTTTTATAATACCCTGTTTTGCTTAAGAACAGATGCTTGACCAACAGAGTTTACCATCAGAAAGAATAAGACAAGTGCTCCTGTTCTGGGTGCCAGAACAGCCCTTCTACAGTACCACATACCGGAAGCTGAAAGGGACACAAATAGGACAACTAATTTCTTCACGCTGTCACCATGACCCTGTTCCTGTTATCTTTTTACTGACAAGCAATCTTTCATGCAGACACCTCCCTCTTGTTTCTTAGTGGCCTTGTTTTGGCTCTAATCCTGGTGGGAGGGTCCAATGATTATCTTCCTTGTATTCTGTAGCTGACAACAACTTTTACTATAGAATCTCTGAATTTTCATATCCCAATAAACACTGTTTTCAAGTTCTATTACAAGTGCAGGACAAGTCTAAGCATGTTTAACTGGAAGTGTACCTTACTGAATTCAACAGGAATTACTCCCTTGTAATTGTGCTTAGAACTGCATTTTTTAAAAAACCTACAGTTTTGAAGTGTATCGTTGTGACTGGAGCGACATTCTGAGGTTAGATAAACTTTTTGGTAAAATGTTCATTTTTTTTCAGGTTAACATTTAGAGCGATACATTGGGATTGGGGGGACTAGATGCATAATATTGAGCAACATGATCAAACTTAACACAGTACAGTTGCTGGGTAAGACATACTAAATGAAAGAACCTCACATTACATTCTTAGATCCCATTAAACATCCAGACGAGAAAGCTAATCCTGTCACTAACCATCTGCTCAAAATGCCTTCTTAGGGTATTGATGACAGCTATATGCAGCAAAACAAATTCAAGTGTATGAATGAGCAAAGGTATACTTGGCATGCTTGCATTACACTATCTGCAACACACACCATCCCCAACATGCCTTTGTGCTGCTTCTTAATGCACAGGGTTCCAGCTAGGGAATGCTTTATTGAAGTAAAACCACTTTCCAAACTGAATAGAATGTATAACCTGTAAGATGTTAAATAAACCTATTTGCGGGATTCCAGATTCATGCTGAGTCCTCTATGTGCAACTATTTCCTTGGAAAAGGTAAAGAATAAAGTCATTGGAAGCTCTGATAATAATGTATTTGTTTTATGCATCAAGGAGTTCAAAAAGTTTTCGCTAAAATGGCTGAGTCCCATATGTAAACAAAAGTAAGTGAGCTGCTCGGAAATACTTTAAAAATTTCTCTTTTTTACTAGGGACTGAATACCATTTGGGATAGATCCCAATAACTAGCTTATGAAATAACATGCTATAAGCTAGCATGATCCACATCCCAAATGGTATTCCAATCCACAGTAAAATCTGAACTACTTTTCCAAAATATTTCCATTTCTTCTTCTATAGCTGTTCTGCTTTGAATAATGTTCATGTCTTTTAAGACTAATCCCTGAACATTTACAACAATTAAATTGTTAACAGTTGATTTCATATGTCATGTGTTTGGCTTTAAAATAGTTCAGCTAAATGAATAACTGAACATGCAATGACTATTAACATCAAACTTCTCTCTTCTGTATTATAATGTTAATTTTTATATTTCACCAGTCAAGTGACTGATTATAACTTTAAAATATCCTAATCTGGATGGTGTGAAGAATATGTTAAAGTTTCTGGGGTTGGTCACTCTGCATTGGGAAACCCCATCTGATCCCAATAAAACTGTTCAGAGCATGTCCTCTGATTACTATATATAACCTCACACTCTCCAAGAGTTCTTATACTTCAAAATCCCTACCCTGTATCTTAACCATATTTTTCGCTCTATAAGATGCACATTTTCCCCTCCAAAAATTAAGGGGAAATGTGTGTGTGTTTTATGGAACGAATGCAGGCTCCCTGGCTTCAGCGATAGCAATGCGAAGCCTCCGAAGCACAGCGGGAGCGCTCCCGCCGCACTCCGGAGGCTTCGGGTTCCTTTCGTTGAAGGGTAGGTGCCCCTTCAGCTAAGCGGGAGGAGAAACGGAAGGGGCTTCATTTCTCCTGCTGCTTCGCTGAAGGGGCGCTGCGCAGAGAGGGGGAGAATTTTTCCCCTTGTTCTCCCCCTCTAAAACAAGGTGCGTCCTATAGAGCGAAAAATATGGTAGTATTTTCCCCATTAGTGCTACTCCTCAAACCATGCAGAGACCTTCAAACCTTGCACTCCCAGATACCCCTACCACTCAACTTGATTAATTCCTTCTTTCAGATCTTCAACAAATAATCTGTACCAAATTCCTGTTTTTTGCAACCTTACCCAAACCAATCCACTCCCTCAATTTCCCTCTCCAGTTTACACCAAAGCCCATTAACAAAGTATTTCACCTTAGTCAGAGCCTACGCATATCTTACCAATAATTAACAATCTTGTGCTAAGGGGATTGTTTGGACCCAGCAGCTTTTTGAAATAGTTCTTAAGCTTTTAAAAAGAGCAAACCTGAGCCACTTAATATTCCAATGTACCATATTTTCAACGGTTAAAATCAGTTTTCTTTGATTCCATTTCCCTTAAAAAAATTTTTTTTTCAAAGTTAGTTTACTCAAATTGTCAGAAGTCCAATTTATCCCTACTGAAAAGATGAGAAAGTGAAACTATCAAATCACCCAAGATGACTGCAGTCCGTTCCAGCAACTTCTCAAAATGGGGTATGTAAAAATTCATTTTCACCTGTATCATAAATTTCTTACACCACTTTTAAAGCAATTGAATGTGGGTTTTTTGCCCATTTATTTACCATGAGTGTGGTATCTCATCTAGGCTTTTTCTTTGTTTCTGTCTTGTTCACTTTTGTTAGCAGCCCCTCATCTATGCATCTCGTTTTCTCTGCCTGGTAGCCCAGTGGAGAATTTGTTAACACTGTGAGGTCCAACAAAGATCGTAGCTATCAGGCTTCACCCTGAAAAAATTAAACATAGAGTACAGAAGACTCTCAGCTTCAGAAAATCACCTTCCAAGTTGTGGAGGGAGAGCAGAACAATGACGGGGTGAAACTAGCAGCCTCATCCTCATAGCCCATCCCCCCCAAGCAATGCGTTTCCTAAATTTAAGGCTTGGTTAGGATTGCCATGCGAGACATTTTAAACAGGGGCAAGTACCTTCTCAACAGCCCTTTTGAATGGTAATTTTCAGAGAGAAAGATCATCCTTTCAATATAAGAACTGAGAACCAGGGGGAAGAAGTTAGTATTTATTAACCAATGTGACTTAAAGGCCTCAATTTGGGGTTTGTGACATTACAAGCTGTCAACTTTTTACTGCATCAACACAACCAGAACAACAGAATCGGGTAGCACCGTTGAGTCCAACAAATTTATGATGGCATCATCTTTTGGCTGCCACCCTGGAATTCCAAACAGCAGGTTCCCGCTTTTCTCCTTCTCACCACGGAGGGCTGACCTGCGCGCCTTTGGAGCCGGAATTCAACAGATGGGTCCGCAGTGGCGGGATAATCATAATCAAACCGATACTGGCTGCACGTCGTTAATGCCCCAATCGCTCGCATGCATACACTGCGAAATTAAGACGGCGCTGTTAATCCTTGCCCAGAAGGTGGCAGGCATCCCGAGCCCCTTCGCTTTTGCCCTTCAACCCTCCCGCCATTCACTCCACTTCGACCCCTTCCCACCTCCGGGTACCCCGAGCCTGACTGCGCGCAACCCCCCCCCCAACTTCAGCAACGCTCCCTCCCATGGAGGCTTTTGCAGGCCGCTCCTACTCCAAGGCAAGTCCCAGCGACTTCCTTCCGAGAAAGTGCACTTCTTGCAGCCGGGTCCCAGGCACAAGCTGGGCGGGCGAAACCCCGACGGATGCCGTCCTGAGGCGCGCCTAACTCTGCCCCGCCGCAGGGTCGAGGCCTAGCCCTCCTCCAACTGCCCGGCTCCCCGTGCCCGTTTCCTCCGAGGTAAGTGGGTCCAGTGGAGCTTCCTCCCGCCGCACGCGGACCGGGCGCCCCGGGAAGGTGTAGCGGCGCCCCGGCCGCCCCTCTCCGCCTGCACTCGCTCCTCGGCCGGGCCAGCGGAGCACCGCCCGCCCAGCGCCCGCCACCCAATCGCGCGTCCTGGCGGCGGGAGGAGGGGGCGGCCTCGGCGCCCGGAGCCTGTGAGCCGAGGCGATGTGGGCCGGGCCTAAGCGCTGCCTCTGCCGTCGCTGCTGCCGCCGCCGCCGCCATGATGCTTGTTTGCTTTCAATGAGTGTGAGAAGGAGGCGGAGGAGGAAGAGAAGGAGGAGGAGAAGGAGGAGGCGGGGGGAGCCCGTTCTCCCGTCCGGCCCGCGGCAGGAAACAAAGAGCCAGGCAGAGGCAGCGCAGAGACGGGGATGCTGCAGCTACAGGTACGGGGGCGGCGGCCGCGCCGACGGAAAAGGCGGCGGCGACGAGGAGGAAGAGGGAGCGGGGGTCGAGGCGGCTCTTCCTCAACCGCCCCCCCCCCACCCCGTCGAATGAATCCATGGGGCGGGGGTGGCGGCAGCGGCGACCGCGGCCTGAGAAAAGCAGGTTTCTGACGGGAGGGGGGCGGTTAAAACTGCCCCGGGTAATCATAATGGGGGCGCGCGGGGGGGTGGGCGAAGGATTATTTTGGTGGGAGGCGCGGAGAGCGGCGGCGGCGCATTCGAGGTCCTGTGGGACGCGGAGAGAGATGGCTGACTTTCCGGGGTGGGTGGGGGGTCGAGGAGATGTTTGTGGGTCGGTTTGTCGGGGGGGGTCGTGTTGACAAGGTTAACGGGGGGTGGCTGCTGACCAGAGAGGGGGAGCGGGGGTTGTGTTGGGGTCCTGTGAGGTTTGGGGGGGGGCTGTCGGTGTTACTATTTTTTATAATAATCCAGCCGGGGAGGGGAAGGGGAACGCGGCTCCTCTTCGGGGAAGGGGCGCGGAGGGAGACGGGCGATATAAATACGAAGCGGGGTCTCCGGGCCCTGCGCCTCCGGAGTGCGTGAAATGCATGGCTGGACGAGGACGGGGCGGGTGGGTGGTGGTTGTTGGGCGAGGGCTTTTGAAGGGAGCGTGTTGTGCAGGGGGGGGGGCGCCGGGGTAGCAAATAAAACTGCTTGTGTACGAGGCGGGTGAGGCGAGCGGCCTATTGCGCTGAAGGTGGTGTAGAGAGTGGTGGTGGCGGCGGTGTTTTGAAACAAAACAAAACAAAAATTACTGGCGTGTGTGGTGGTGCTTTGGAGCTGGTACGGTTGATTTGGAGGGCATTATTGCTCTTCAGGAAACAAAAGGAGCCCTGTTGGGGTTGGCAGGGAGGAGGAGAAAAAAGTTTTTGGTCTGGGAAAGTAGAGACGGGGGTTGGTGTTTTGCACTTGGAAGGGGCGGCTGAGCCTTCCTGGAAGCTGTGGGAAGGTTCTGGAGGAAGTGACGTGCTCAGTGCCTGTTGACAAGAGCTGTGGGGTGGTGGGAGTAGTGCGGGGGTAAGGGGGGGCAGGGCTCATTTGCTTGAAGTGCCTAATAAGTGTGTTAGGGTTCTGGTTTGTGGGGTTGGCGTGGCTCTATACAAATGCACCAAACTCTATTTTTATTTTATTTTGGCACTTAAAAGCAACTAAGATAAAAGTACAGGTGTAGTGGAGGGAAAGCTGGTTTAATAAAAACAAAGTGTAAACATTTCTGGAAATAAGCAGGAAGAAAGGAAGGCTTGCATTGCACAGCTGTTTTTCTTCTCCACACCTCCACAACCTCTTAAAATTAATTTAAATAGAACAGACAGGTGTAAATTTAAAAACTGTAGATCCATATTTGCCGTGGATAAATAAGCCTGGTTCTTGGGAACAAAACCTGCACTTCAGGATAAATTTAAGCTTGGTTGCATTACCCTTGTACTGTATCTGAAAGGGCTAGCTTGCAATAAGAAGGCCACAATAGACAGCCTGTGTCTGAAATAGAAAGGAAAGAGCTTTAGCAGGAATGATTGACAGCTGTGCTGTCCAATGTAATGAGCTGGGGGCAGGAATAGTGTTTATATGCAGGTAGGTTGGCTGGGCCTCAGTCTGTAGAACACACACATATACAGTGGTACCTCAGTTTACGAACAGTCCTGTTTACGAGCTATTCGGTTTACGAACTCTGCGAAACCGGAAGTAGTGTTCTGGTTTGCAAACTTTACCTCGGTTTACGAACAAAAGCTGAACGGTGGAAGGGCACCAGCGGTGGGAAGCCTCATTAGCGAAAGCACACTTCGGTTTAAGAATGGATTCGGTTTAAGAACAGACTTCCGAAAAGGATTAAGTTAGTAAACCGAGGTACCGCTGTAGGGGTAAACAGGATTAGAATGCAGATCTCTTGGGGTTACCTACAACAGCAAGTTTGTTCTATATGTTTTTGTGTAGATGGGGTATCTAATGAAGTGCTGTTTTAGGCTACTAAGAAAGCAAAACTTCAGCAGGCTGTTCCTTATAAGGGTGAGGTTCTAAGGGGTAGTATACAATTGTGAATTTGATCCAAAATATATGGTATGAAAGATATTTTTATGTACAGGTTGCTTGTGAGTTTTGTGTTTTTAGTGGTAGATTTTTATGTTGAATTTTACTTTTGAATTGGTGAAGGGACATAACCCAAAAGTAAAAAATAAAACGATAATAAAAAAATGTAACAGCACCTGTTTTGGCTAACCTTCATCTTTTACTAGTTGAACGATCTGGGAGGTTTTAAAATTTATTTAAGGTGAGTTTTTGTTTTGCGTTAAGCCTTTTAAATATCTGTAGTAAAAGACAAGGATTTTTAGGAAAACCTCATAAATTTTCACTATAAAAAGATAGATATTCTCATATTCTAAAATAGTAAAGATCTAACATTTATATGATTATGTTGTTGAGGTTTCCTGCAGAGATTTTTGAATTGTGCTGTATAAGCAGTTGGGGATTTCTACAGTGTCTGGTATGTCTCAGGGTTATTTTCTTATCTGGATTTTACCATATTGGTAACAGAGACTTAAAATTCAAAAGGATTAAGGAATATTTATGGTAATTATTTGGTATGAATGTGAAGGTTGGCAAGTGTTGACTGGTAATTGTATTGTCTCTTGCATTTCTTTTCATCCTAGAGCAGGTCTCGTAATTGGGGATTTGTCAACATTTCCACTGGGGTAATTTTACAGAATTATCCACCCCGTGTTCTTCCTGCTGGTTCATCTGGACTCTGGAGTGTGCTGCTAGGAATGAAGTCTTCTCTGGGGGTTTATTCACAGTATTGCTGAAATGGAACCATTCACATATGAATTAATGCTTTATTCACTTTTCACTTGAAGCACTTGGATCAGTTCATTTTTCTTTATAAGGGAGATTGCCCTGTGTCATTTTGTATTGAAATCCTAAGTGTAGTCTTGACAAGTTCAGGCTATTTGTGTTTCAGTAATTAAGGAAGAACTTAAATATAAAAATAAATGAAACCACAGTACTGCATGGGCAGATAATTATTTTTGGTAATGTATATCTTTAGATGTACATATTGGCTTGTGTGAATTAATAAGGTGTATTTTTAGTAAGTATATTGTAATGCTAGCCCATGCATTTCTCAAATTAGTTTTAAAAACCCACCCAGTGTATGACAGCTTTATTTTAAGAAAGAAGTTGCATTCTTTTGATAGAAAAATGGTCCACCAAAATCCTGTTCTTTCGGTATGGTACATTAAATCTGGCTATTTTGGTATGGAATTTAGATGCAGATTAGTTAAATAACTTGCATCTTAATTTCTGTATAACCCTATGCAGACATTCAAATTGTACATATAATGTATATCTGCATTGAACTCTGCTTGTAGGCAAGAGTTGCATCAACTGTGTAAATGTTAGGCATGAGTGGGGCTGGGGAGTGGAGATTCTTCCATGTATGGCATTTGAACATTGGTATTTGGCTAAGGTGGCAAAAGCGTATATGGATTAGCTACCAAAAATTACAAGCCTGCACTTTAAAAAAAACTTGTACAAGGGAGAGTGGAACATGAATGGAGCACTCATTCCCTTCTTTGCCAGTCCTTCTTATGAGTTAAAAGCAGGCTAGTGAAACATATTGCAAGCTAGAAGTGAGCACACTACCTCCTCTGCATTCATGCTTGGTTTCTATGATGAGTGTGCAGGAAGAGGTGAAGTGGACTTAGTACTGGGATGAAGTGATCCATGCCTCTACAGCTATCCTGCATGGTTACTATGCCAAACATGCAGGAAGGGGCTACATCTCCCATGCATAGATGCTTAGTAGGCTTGTGGCATTGTCACAGATTGCCCTGTCACTTTGCCACCAGCATGTACATAAAACACAAGAGTCACCCTTTGGATGTTCAGAATCCATCTGCTGCTAGCCCACTGTGATAACATGTAGGACATGCAGCATTGTGCTTCACTTCCCATGCTTCCAGTATAGAACTGAGGCATGCTGGGGATTGCTTTGTCCCTTTGCTACCAGTGTGCTGTGTTTCTACAATAAAGGTGTGGGAGATTTGATTGTTAATGTGTCTTGCAGAAGTGCAGCAGGAAGCATTACTTCTTCCTTCCACCACCAGCTTTCTTGGTTTCTGTGCTGGATGCAGGGGAGGAAGCTTCACCTCCTACACACCAAATACTGAAATGCAGTGGTCTGCCAGAGGAAGGATGAAGCGCTTCATGTCCTAGACAAGGAAGGAGGGGGCTTACTCTCCTCCCCACCCACTATAGAAATGCAACGAGCTGCTGCATGGAATGGGGGAAGGGGGGAGCAAACAGGTTCTCTCCCTTTTGGGCAGTTCATTCACTCCCCTGTGATAAATTCCTTATCACATATGACAACTGGGCAATGAGTTAAAAACAAGGCTATATAGGTTTACTGTATTTGGTAACTAGCAATTTCTCTTACAAGGCTACTAGTTAACACTGAAGCATTTGAGATGTGCATATGTGTGTTAACATTTAAACATGTCATTTTTCACTTGTGGCAACATTCTGATCTATACCTAAAATACTTCATGGAACCCTGTTGCCTACTTCACACTGAGGTGTGGTGCTAAGAGAAATACTTCAAATGCTCATTAGCAGTGTAGTAGTAAGTAAGGTCTTTTTAATATTTTTCACATTTTAACCAGTCCATAAAATTTCACTTAACATACAAACTCCTTTCTTATGTAGTTTTTACATGTAGTCACCCTTAAAGCTGAGTAGCCTGTGTGTTAGACAAACCTGTTGTCAGTGCACATATAGTTTAAACTGATTGCTAAGCAGCATTAAT